AGCCTCCTACAGCATGGAGACACTGTCCTTCATATCAGTGAGGACAATGGCATGGAGAACCCCCTGCTGTCCAGCCAGTTCACTTTCACGCCTCCTGAGGTGGGGGAGAAAGACACAGCACTAGATGAGTCCCATGTTTAGCTCTGTATCACAGGAGCAGGACACAGAAGACTGCTAACAACGGAACGATTTTGATGACAAGGATTAATTCCAAAACATCACTTTACAACCAGTGGGTGGCATTAAGTCTGAGAGGATTTTGCTGCCAAAACTCCTAATGTGTCATAACCATCTTAAAAACCAATAGCTAAAGCTTTAGTCATGTGAAGACCATAAAAGCAGGGAAGGATAAGGGGAAAGAGCCATTTCACTGCACATTGTGAATATATATATATATATATATATAGTCAGTTGATAGTATATATTATTTTTTCCCTCATAAGAATACTAACAATATGTTCTAAAAGGAATGCAGTCTTTTAAGATACATTATACATCTCATGAAAATGTTTATTTTTATAGTTTAAAAAATTTACATTATGTGGCTATATATGCATAGCAATTCATATAAAAACAACCAATAAGAAAAATAATTAGAGAAACTAAATTACAAACCCTGCAGTTATTTTTGTTTTGGTCAACAATATACTCAGTAATTAAAAGAACAAAATGCTATTTTTCAGAGCTGTGAACTTTTCAAAAATTATTTTTTAACTTTCATTTTCACTGCATGCTAAAAATCAAAATTCTAATACCACACATCATTTCATACCAATCACTAAGACAAAATGCTCTAGAAATTCTCAGATATGATTCTGAATTAATAACATAGGCCACTATATAATTATAAAAAGCTAAATGTAAATAGCATTGCTTGAAAGAGATGGCATTCCTACTTCTAGCCCTGACTACGTCCATGTCTAGAATGGATCTATTGGGAATGGGGATTGCTTTCCATTACAGTCCTTGTGCCTGCCCCTGAGGGCATATTTTCATACATTAAAGTTAAGTTGTTAGGACTAGATCAGAAAAGAACTTTTTCTCAGTAGTCAAATATCCTATGATCCTTAGGAGATCGCCATTAATGAGGAAACATACAGAGTAATCAATTTCTTCATAGACTCAGACAGCTTGTATATATTACAAATAGGGCTTTAACTTGAAGTGCAGTTACTTCAAAAAATAAAATAAAATTGGGAAGGCTTGTGAGGCCAGTACTTAGTAGGTTATTAAAGGGCTGGGCATCACACAGTTCATAAGTAGGTTTCATAAATTTAGCAGTTTACATTAGAGAACTGTTATGTAAAACTACTAAGCATTGAAAGGTATTTACATACCTACATTGGTATGGTGTGTGTGTGTGTGTGTGTGTGTGTGTGTGTGTGTGTGTGTGTTTTAGTCTTCAAGTAGAAGTTAAACAGAGTTTGATTATGTTGAGATGAGTTTAAATATATTCTATATGCTTAAATGTTGATTATGTTGGCTATGAAATGTACGTATATATAAAGAGGAGAATTATAAACCCAAACAAATCATAAAGAAAAATGATATTTATGTTAGAATTATTTATTAAATAAGCACAGTTTATATTGTGACTTATAAAAGCATATACTTTGGGGCTACAGCCCCACTCACCACGAGCAAGGAATTATCTATAAATTAATTAGAATAAAATTTAAAATCCCCCAGTTGAGAAAATCAAGGTGGTATCACCTCCAGGCCTTCTGGTTAAGAACAAGTATTGGAAATCAAGGAGATAAATGGACCTCTTTTATGTGCTATAACATCTTCACATCATTCATACTTAATGCTGAGTTTGTCCCTAAGTGCAGAAGCCGATATGCAAGTGGTTTTCTGGTTCTAAGCTGATGTATTTGCCTGTTACAAACTATGCTGCTCAATTAGCATTAGAGGCCTTATGTCTGGTAATTACAAGTGTCTGAGTTATGTGCGTCTATGTGCTTTGTTCCAGTGTTTGGATTCCTGATTCAAAATCTCTATAATTGTGTCAGATATTTAAGAAGTACAGAGGTCAATGAATTGATAAATACTCAACAATAACTCTAAATATCTTTATATATTTTAAATGTGTTGGGCTGTTTGAGAAAGAATTTACTGGTCTGTCTGCCTTTTAACCTGACTCATTCGCTGTCATGTATGGAAGTCTATTAGAAATTTTTTCAATATGCTAAGTAATGTTTTACCTTTAAAAAACAAAGGAGACTTGTCCACTCTGAGAAATAGGGACTTACAGAGTGGAAATGCTCTCTCTCGTGTTGGACTTCTGAAATTTTGCAAATGTGTGCATCTGTTCCATTTAAGGTGTCCTTAAACGTGTTGAATGTAATGTGTTGAATGTTATGTGTGGTGACTAAAGTATCTATATGTATGTGCATAAGACTGTCACAAAATGTATTCTCAGGAATACTGTTAACTGGAGTTGGAAGGAATAACTTAAAGAAAATTAGGGAAGATAAGAAAAAAAGTTTGAGTTAATTGACAATCTTTTGTAATATTCAAAATGTGACTAAGAACTAATTATCACTCATGATCATTATAATATTAGTAAAATAGATTTATTTCTTAATCTATGATGCTTCATAATACTTATCTCATTCAGGGGAAGGATAAAACAGACACCCACTTTCACCAGGTCTTAAAAAAAATTACATTCAATGGACATTGGTCCTCTGGAAAGTAACTTTATAGAGAGAGACCTTGGAATAAAAATATATCATCCATGATAGTGGGTACAGATTTATACTATTCAGATTAAAGCAGCTTAATCTGGATGCAGAATTTCCTAGAACAAGCATTTTATTTTCATTTGCAGCATTCACTATTTTCTATAATTCTATTAAATTACTTGATTCTTCTGACAAGGAAAATGAGTTACTGAGTGCCTTGGAATAAGCCACTAAGAACTACAGTGTGAAAGGGCACAATTGGGCACACAGCAGTGCTGGAGGCAACTAATGGTTCGATACATCAAGCCTCCAAGAATAATTTAAGACAAGACAGCATCTCTCTTTTAGCATCTGTTGTTTCAGTCAGTGAAGAACTTTCTCCACTTTGCTGCCCACCTCCTAGAGTTTCCAAGGAAATAATAGTGTATGTGCAGAGATCTATAGGGAAGAAAGGGTTATAGAATTATAATCCAAAACATGAATTAAATACCTTCTTTGAGTTACACAGGAACTTCCTTGAGTTACCAGAGAATTTTCCAGAATTTGCTGCTGTCACACTGAGTCCCACTGTTGCTCCGTGACCTCACAGTTCCAGTCCATGGCCTTGTGTCTCAGCAGTGAGTAAAATGTCCCACGTCCTCATTTACTTTTGTGGGTCTCAACTGCAGCATCTCAGAAGCAGACTTTGATCTGACACTCAGGAGAATAAAAACAAGTTGAGGGCAGAATGTATTTGGAAAAGTTTATGATAAATTTACTTATATTATTTAAGGATCATTTAGGATCATAAATCTACGTACCTCCATGATATTTTTTAATAGTCACTGTGACCATGGGATTAAAGTCCTTTATTAGCCATTTTGTAGGTAAAAACAAAGGATTGACTACACAGCCAACTTCCCTCAGAAGACTATGAAGTCTGTTGTGAATACTGAATGACCAAAGAGCATGGAAAAATGCATATGAATAAATACTGAGACATTTATGAAAGATATTTATGAAAGCTATTGACTTCTGTGTTTGAATATGCACATATAATAAAAATAATCTAAAAGTATTTAATGTGCTCCAATTTCATTTCTCTCCTTTGGAAATGGTTTAGCTCATTCCGGTTCATTTTTGAAGACTTGGAATGTGCCTTCTTTTATTCATCTCTTGTTCTCCATACCTGCACTCTACACCTGGCCTAAAGTCACCAATCATTCCCTCCACTTCTGTATACAATTGATATCCATCTATAAGTACTTCCCATCCCCCATCTTTCAAAATAAAGCAGAATGCAGATATGGAAGACAAGTAGCCAATTTGACTTCCCTGCCCAGATTACGACCTGCTGGAATCCTGGTAGTCCAAGTCAGAACATTAAAGACTTGATTGTCATCTGACTGTGGCCCCAGAAACCATGGCATCTAAATTACCACCAGCTATGTTTTGAATAAAGTTATGAGGTATCCTATCCTTGTCCTTTAGGAATTTCTCTTGTTTAATTCATGTTTATCTTCACATAGCTTTGCATTTCTTCCTGACCCAGACTCTGAACACATTTGGCATTAGGACACCTACCCATTTCAAGAATTATGGCTGGATAATAAACAACTGTATCAAATCGGTCTACAGCAGAGGAAGTAGGACCAAAGAAGCCTAAGAAACTCGTATACTGAGTACTCAGCAGTCACTGCTCTCGGCACCTTGACTAGGGAGTATCACAGAAGAGAGGACCAAAAGACTGTAAGAGAGCTAGAGGGTGGGGGAAAGTGCTATGGAATGCTGTCTCCTGGGTACGACAGGCATGCTGCAATTGCTAGTGCACAAGCAACCGTGGCTATCTGCACAAAACCTACAGACACACAGAGATATTTAAGTAGGAGAGGGATTAATTAGGAAGAAGAAAAGGATCACCAGGAGTTGAAGAAGAGTAAGTGCGGGTGACCGGGGCTACGATCACAATATAAGGCATACATGTATGAAATAGTAAAAAAAAAATTACACTTTCAAAACAAATTCCTGAATTGTAGGCGGTAGTCTAGCTGGTCGGCCCGTTACCTTCTTGCACCATTAAACTATTTTTCCTTACAAAAGGAGAAAAAAAAAAAAAAAAAAAAAAAAAGAGGCTGAGATGACAGAGGCTCAGGAAAAAACCCAGACAGGAGGCAGAAGGTCTCCGCCCGGCTCCGCTCCTGGCTAGCCAGCTGACAGCCCCGCCCCCAGCAGGAGGCGGGACTTCCTCGCCGCAGGGCAGACGCTTCCGGCAGAGTCCGGAAGAGAGTGCGGAGTGGGAGGGGGCGGAGCCAGCGCGGCGCGCCCAATCGGGACGAAGTCTTGGCTGGCCCGGGCTCTCGTGGGCTCACTCGCTCTAGGGAACCGGCACCATGGCGTCGGGTTGCAAGATCGGCCCGTCCATCCTCAACAGCGACCTGGCCAACCTAGGGGCCGAGTGCCTGCGCATGCTGGACTCGGGGGCCGACTACCTGCACCTGGATGTAATGGACGGGTAACTCCGCGGGGCTCGGGGCGGGCTGGCCGCGCGGCTCGCGTCGCTGCACCTCAGCGAGCGCCTGTTGGGTGCACGGCGCCCCTTTGCGACGGGCGGCCTCGCCGGGCGCGTTGCTGAGGGCACCGAGCCGGCCCCGGCTGCCTTCGGGGCCCAGCCCCCAAGTCCTTCCCCACCGCCAGTCACCTGTGGTACTAGCCACCTTCAGTAGTCAGGGCATTTCTTTCCTGAACTCGTAGAGAAACTGAGGCCCAACGTGACAGGCACGACTTGTCCAAACTCAGCTAACTAGTCCGCGACAAGGCTGGGAGACAGGCTCGCCCACGGTTACGAGCTTGACACCTGGCTGTGATTACTGAGTTGGACCACTTGCTGACTTGTTTTAGACAAGCCGCTTCGGCCCTCATGGAGGTTCGGTTTCAGGGTTTGGAAAATGGAAGTATTATTATTGATAATAGAACGCTTCCGCGTCTTTGGAGACATGAAATGAGCAAGCCCAGTGCCAGACGTGTAACAGATTCGCTACAGTTGTTGGTTGTATCGAATAACTATCCGAATTCTGATTTTCCTGTCTATTTTTTCTTCAGGCACCCTGCTCTTCAGGGAGGTCAGTTTTTTTGTAAGTAATTTTTAAGCACTGTAGTTATAGTTTATAATACTCAGAATCAGGGTACGAGTTTCCTAAGTCGGTTATAAAGGGAGTAAATGAACAAAGACCCAAAGGAGGCCATAAGACTTGCTCAAGATTACAGAAGATTGTGACAGACTTGTACCTTGAATCTTCTTGGCTTTGACTAATATTTCCTATTGGAAGTTCCGCATAGAATTGTAAAAAGCCTTAGGTTGAGGTAGAAAATAAATTTATTTCAAGTAAGCAAAATCTGTTTACCTTCAGTCACATTGGCAAATATGTGTTATTTCCAAGAGGTTAGTTTGTTTCTTTCTTGTTCGGGGTGAAACTGGGGGTTGTTCTTTTTGGTTTTGAGACAAGGTCTGTGTAAATCAAACTGGCCTCAAACTCAGAATCTTGCCTCAATTTCACAAATGCTAGGATTATAGGCATGGGCCATCACACTCAGAGGCACCTTTTCTTTAATGTCACTGGCCACTCTGTAGCAGTTTTTCTTGCTTTGCGCACTGTGGTTAAATCTCTTGTTTCTCTTAACACTTCCTGAAAGCCCTTGACTGAACAAAGTGTGTACCATACAGATGGCGGCTTTATTTTTGGTGCCTGAGGAAACTTAGGTGTCTCAGGTGGAACAGGCAACACGTATAACTGTGAGTCTGTTTATACAGAATGAATGAACAGAGAACATTTCTTTCAGTTTGCTAATAGGAATATTGGTGATAGCAGTATTTAGAAGCACTTGACTTTCTGTTCTGGTACTTTTTTTAAAACTCATTTAAAAAATTCTTTTATTTTTTGAGTTTATAACATAATTACATCATTTCCCCCTTCTCTTTCCTCCCACTGAACCCTCCCATATACCACCTTCTTCCTTGCTGTCTTTCAAATCCATGCCCCTTTTAAATTGTTATTACATACATTATATGTAAATACATACATATTCCTAAATATATAAATATGACCTGGTCAGTCTGTGAGCATATTTTTAGAGCTGGCCATTTGGTATTAGGTAAGAGTGTGTCTCCTGCTCTCAGCATTGCTTACTTATCTAGTTCTTTGGGTAGGGCTAGGACCCTGTGGGCTGATCAGGTACTTTTTGAGGTTAGTGTTTTGTCAGTGAAGAGTAAGGTGAGGTGCCTTGTCTCAGAGCAAAAAAAAAAAAAGAAAAAAAAAAGAAAAATCAAAAAACAAACAAACAGGCTGGGGTGTTGGTAGACCATGCCTTTAGTCCCAGCACTCGGGAGGCAGAGGTAGGTGGATCTCTGAGTTCGAGGCCAGGCTGGTCTACAGAGCCAGTTCCAGGACAGCCTCCAAAATAATACAGAGAATCCCTGCCTGGAGTCTCCCTCTTCCCCCCCAAAAAACAAAAACAAACAAAAAACAGTGGGCCAAGGTAGAAGGAATGTAACTATGTCTCAAAATGCCTCTGTGTGCCCTTGAAGTCTACAGAACTCTTAGGACATTTTCTGTCCTCAGACATCAAGTAGTAATTTATATTTTTTCTTTTCTCTCTCTCCTAATGTTCTGCAGGGTCTGAAGTAAAGCTCTGTGCAGCCATATTATCATTGCTTAGTAATAGTGGGAAGCGACTCTAAGAATTACCTTTCCCCCTCCCAACAGACTCCCTGCCCCTGTTGCAGATGTTCGTAAATTAAGACAAACTTTTTTTCTTTTTAATTCTACATTTGCTGGGAAGGACTAGCTTGGAAACCTAAATTCTTCATGTACATTTTTTCACAACTTTTTATCTTTACCTACTTTTATTTGTTTTTGAAGTAAAAGCTGTTTCTATTCATCATTTGCAAAAGAGGAAACCAGTTTAAGGAAGTACAGCTTCTTTCCCTTCGTCCTGCCTGAGTAGACAAAACCTGATAGAGCTGGTGTCACCTCCTTAGCCATGTGGGGCGGTGTTTCCAGGGCAACAGGACAAAAGTGAGCTGTGGGATCCCTTTACAAAGAGGTGGCCTGCCTCAAAATATTTCCTTCCCTTCTCCACTTCACCCCTCAGCTTTCTGTGCTGCTTAAAACTGAATTTATCTAGAAAGTAAAAAACTGGGTTGGAAAACACTAGGTGGCTGGACACAAGTATGGTTAAATATCTAAAATGAAGAGCAGATTTATTTTCTGCAAAAACAATTTTGAGGAAAACACAAAACATATCATGACAGGATGGTGGCTTGAAGGGATTGATCCCAACCATGGGAGCAGAGGAAATATCTATTTCTAAATTAATCATCAGGATTTTAAATTGGAGCAGTTTCACATGGGTACTGGGTTTCTGACTTTTGGGGGTGGGGCATGGTTGGGGATATCAAAGCTTTGGCATCTGTGTTCTGTTTTCTGATTAAGCCATGATGGGCTGCCGTTGAGTGAAGCAAACACCTTTAGCAAGTTAAACATTTGTGTCCTGTGCCTTATCCCCTCCAGCCCATCTCTTCTGCTCAGTTTTGCTTCTTAACTTTGTCTGCCAACTGCAACCTGCCAGTGACTCTATGGTTCCTGATTCACAGGAATATTGTTTTCTGGTTCCAGTCTTGGTACATTTTGTACAGACTTTAATCCTCTTAGAGTTTTGTTTGTTGATTTGTCTGCAGTAGACTGCATTCTAGCTATAACTAAAGTATAGCACTGGTGATGGAACCTGATGAGAGAGGAAACTGATATTCACACATTATAACAGCTCAATACCAGCAAGTCCCTGGTTGAATTTTCTTTCACACTTTCCTCCAAAGGATTACATTCAAGGAGGGAAATGTCTGAATAAAATAATGATAAAACTCGCTTTTCTGGTGAATTCCTTTACTTTAGAATTAATTTAGAATTCCTTTACTTTAGAGTGAATTAATTTAGAATTTCTGATAAGAAATCTTTGAGGCATTTGATAAAAATTCCTGTTCTTGGGTCTTCAGAACCTCAGTAGCCCTCATAAAAAGGCTGTAGATCCCTGGATATTTGGTGCTGTCAGGCAATTCTAAGACACCTGACTTCATACTTGGGTTTTTGTCCTTTTTGGTTATGGCTTAGTAACAAGCCTTTAGTTTTTGTTTTGTTTTTTGTTTTGGGGTGTGTGTGTGTGTGTGTGTGTGTGTGTGTGTGTGTGTGTGTGTGTTGATGCATTTTGTGCTCACAAAAGTTGAGGGTCAGTAGTTTTTATATGTTATACTTGTATTTCTCAAGTAAATTTGTTTTATTTCTCAGCTCCTCAGCCTGTCTTTTGTCACTGTGTTTATTTTCATAATAAATGAGACAGTAAATTAAAAGAACAGTATATGCAATTAAAGACTTTTTGTAAAGTTGTAGAATAGTTATTTGGGGTTGATGCCTTTGACCTGACCCTTATTTCTAGTGTAAGTAATTAATGTGTGTCATAGAACTCTGATAGTGATTGCTCTTAGGAGGCAGTAGAATAATCTTCTAAATAGTAGAAATGGAACCTCCAAGGATCTGTTGGTTAGAGAACTTATCTACACTGATTGTTAACTGACTGGCTGAAGGATGTTAGCATGTTCTTCAAACAGAATGTAAATCATATCTGTTTTAGTAGTCTTAGGTGTGAAGGACAATACAATATCTGGAGTGAACTAATCTCTCAATATACTACTAGCTCCAATAAGCATCAATTTAGTTTTTTCTAACACAGCTTTACAAAATTGCTTTTATAAGTATTTGCCCTTGCAAGAATTCTTTTATTGATTAAATTTATTCATTTATCTTACATCCCGTCCACAGTTTTCCCACCTTCCTCACCTCCCCTCCCCTCCCTCCATCTTCCCTCCACTTCCACCCCACTCCTTCTTTGTTTTCAATAAAGCATGGTATATCAAGTTTCTATAGGACGAAGGTCCTTCTATTATATTAAGGCTAGGAAAGGCAACACAGTATGAGGAATAGGTTCCTAAAAGCCAGTCAAAGTGTTAGGGACAATCTCTACTCCCACTGCTAAGAGTCCCACAAGTAGACCAGGCTGTACAACTGTCACACATATGCAGAGGGCCTAGGTCTGTCCCATGCAGGCTCCCTGACTGTCAGCCCAGATTCTGTGAGCGTCTATGAGCCCAGTTAGATGTTTCTGTGGGTTCCTTTGTGATGTCCTTGTCCATTCTGGCTCATACAATCCTTCCTCCCTCTCTTCAGCAGGATTTCCCAAGCTCAGCCCAATGTTTGGCTGTGGGTCTCTGCACCTGTTTCTATCAGTTACTGGATGAAGGCTCTCTGATAAACTGAGGTAGTCACCAATCTTTGAGTACAGCATAATATCATTAGGCATCATTATGTTGACTTTTTTTGTTGTTGTTCAGTGTGTTTAGGTCTATCCTAGGTCTCTGGGTCATCGGGCCTCTGGGTTCAGGCAGTGTCAGGGGTGGGTTCGCTCTCCTGGTATGGGTGTGAGGCTGAATGAGTCATTGGTTGACCACTCCCACAATCTCTGCCACTCTTACCCACCCCAACACACACACATACCACACACATGTCCAGTGGGCAGGACAAGACTATAGGTCAAAGGTTGTGTGGCTGGTCTAGTGTTCCAGTCTCTCCACTGGAAGTCCTGCCAGGTCACAGTTCAGGCTACTCATCCACCATTGTTAAGAGTCTTTGCTGATGGTCATCCTTGTAAATTCCCCTTGTACTAGGGTTTCTACCTGACCTCGAAATGACTCCCCTTTTCCAGTCATCTCTTTTAGTGCTCTCCCCCTCCATTGACCCTCTAACCCAATCCCTCATGTTCCCATATCCATCTGCCCCCAGTCCATCCACAAGATCTCTTCTATTTCCCATTTATTTCCTGAGAGATCCATGTGTCTCTCCCTGGGCCCTCCTTGTTACCTAGCCTCTCTGGCACAGTGGATTGTAGCCTAGTTATCCTTTACATCTAGTATCCACTTAGAAGTGAGTACATACTGTTTTTTGTCTTTCTGGATCTGGGATACCTCACTCAGGATGATTTTTTTTTTTCTAGTTCCATCCATTTGCCTTCAAATTTTCTGATATCATTGTTTTTAACAGCTGAGTAATACTCCACTATGTAAATGTACCAATTTACTTTACAATTCTTTGTTTGAGGGGCTTCTAGGTTGTTTCCAGGTTCTGGCTATTACGAACAAAGCTTCTGTGAACATAGTTGAGCAAGTGTCCTTGTGGGACACTTGAACTACTGTGCTCATAGCAGTTTTATTTGTAATACCAAGTTATTTTTTTTAATGGTTATTGTTTAAAGGGTTTAAATAAACTGTCATTTAGTGCTCTGTGATTGAAGTGGATTAGAGGCTGATTCAGGACACCTGTTAGTATCCTTTATTAAGAATGTGCCACTTGAGCAAGTCAGAAATTGTCTTTTGTCATCTTTCCATTTCTGCTTGCACCATGGGTTATGAATTAGACTTGTCATTCTGAAGATTTATATGACAGCATACATTAATTGTAAACCTGATCTTACCTGGTTATTTTTGCCTTTTTTTTTTTTGTCTAATATTAAAAATGTTAAGGACTATATGGGAAAAAAAATTGCAATCCCAAATGTTCCCTTCCTCCTGTGTCAAAATTCATATTGATAAAGCAGATGTGAACTTGAAAATATTTTCAGAGTAAGATTTTATTTATTTTTTTGTCTTGTAGGCATTTTGTTCCCAACATCACTTTTGGTCACCCTGTGGTTGAAAGCCTCCGAAAGCAGCTAGGCCAGGACCCTTTCTTTGGTAAGTGGGTTGCTAACCATTTAAGGCTGATTATATTGCTTACATAAAGGAAAAAGTTTGTTGATCAAATTCATCTTGTCCTCTTCTCCTGTTTCTTCCTGTGCTGGGCCTTCATTAGCTTGATCATAGCAATCCAACACCCTTCTCCTTCCCCAGGGCCATGAACCTGATTCTGCCTGGAAAAACTCTTCTGCTGAGGGCCTCACCATCAGCCCTCAGGTCATTTGTTAACTCCTCAGAGAGGCCTTTCTAAGCACCCGGTGCAAACTAACTTTATCTACCTTTCAATCTTCTTAGAACGGACTATAAGAGCTGTGAAGGTACACCTAGAACTCAACTTGTGATTTTTTTTTATAATTCATTTACAAATCCATATTTGTTGTTTATATATTACTTAAAATATATAATTTATTTGTTTGGGTGTTTTGCCTGCATGTATGTGTGCACAGTGTCCTCAGAGGCCAGAAGAGGGTGTTAGATTCCCTGGAGTTGGAGTTACAGAAGGTTGTGAGCCGCCATGTGGGTGCTGGGAACTGAACAAGGGTCCTGGAAGAGCAGCTCATGTTCTTAACTGATAAGTCTTCTCTCCATCCCCAACTTTTGCTTTTCTTAAGGCTAAACCAACATGATTACATTTAGTATTAACTAGTAGTTGCATTTATGATTCAACTAAGTGGTCCAACAGCCAATGTCTTTCTTTCAAATGTGGGCTTTCTAAAGATATGTTTCATTTTATGAAATAGTAAATATAAAGGGTTTTTTTGTTTCTTTTGGAGGGGGTTGTATTTTAGTGTTTTGTTTTGTTTTTGTTTTTTAGATCACTCCAACCTAGAAGTTATTTGAACAGATTCAAGTTCATAATATTTTATAAAACTTGTATAATTAAATAAAACTAAAGTTTTTTGCCATAGAACAATTTTATGAGGGATGCTAGCTGAAATGTTTAGTGTGATAGCTCTAAAACCCATATTTAAGTATTTATATTAAAATAAAAATTTAGTTTCTCATTCCCATTAGGCACATGTCTTTGACTACTGTCAGCAGTGCAACCATGGACATTTCTTCTAAATGCAGACTATTAGTCCTACTTGTGCAGCCTCTAGCAAGTGTGTCCAACTTTTTGACATGCAACATGTTATTGTCATATACAGGTTCACACCTGAGAATCACACAATTGAGTTACAAAATCCCAACAAAAACAAACATCTCATATAAAGTATACAATTTTGTGTTGGTTTTATTGCTAGCCATCCCTTATCTAGCCTGTGCCTAGACATACCTGGGAAAGGATTCATCCATTTTGAGAGGATTAAAAAAAAAAGTGCATTATTGCCTCATGTCTACCAACATGTTCATCTTTTTCAGTTTCATGTAGTTGAATATAATCTTAGTGTTAAAAAAAATTTTTTTGGAAAGGAGTTTTCAAAATAAGTTTCTTCTTGAATCTACTTGTATTGTGTACTGTGACTTTTTAAAATTAAATTGTTTCTCTGATGTGAGAAATGATTAATAAGTCATACTGTTCCCACATACAGTAGCCCCCTTTTCTACTGCTCTGTCTTTGTAATGTTTTTCACTAGTTTTTTCCTTTACTCTTCTTTTGACTTGTCTTCTCAATTCTCACTATTTCCTGTATCTCTTGTCATAACATTCTCTCCTCCGTAACACTATTGCCACCACCATATCCAATCCACTTTTTTCTTCTGGAACTTGGAAGTTATGTATGATGTATATTCATATAAATTTGCTAATTAATATTTTATGAAATTTGTTCAAAATAAGGATAAATACACTATGTTAATACTTGGGGTTTGAGGTCTTTGTTTTCTATAGTTAAACAGTTTGATTTTGTGTTAGATCTTGGTTGTTAGATAATTGATGCATGACCGCATTTTAAGAAGTAGACAGGGCTAGAAAGATGGTTCAGCACTTAAGAGCAATTTTTTGCTCTTACAGAGAACCAGGGTTCGGATTCCAACACCCACATCATGTGACTCACAACCACCTATAACTCCCTCTTCTGGTTTCTGTGGAACAGAGATCAGAACTTGGGTTGCACATGACAATTCCCACCACAACCTGTTACTGTTTTCAAAAATCTTTAAAATCTTTATATGTATACATATTTGTGTGTGTGTGCATGAGTGTGCCATGTGCATATGTGTGCAAGTATGTATGTTACAGTGACACAGTGCACTTGTGGAGGAGAGGTCAAAGGACTTTTGGAAGTCATCTTCTACCTTCCACCTACTGAGGCAGCATCTGTCTTACTGTCTTACTCCACTTAGCTGGCCTGAGAGCTTCTTGGATATTTTCCTCTCTACCTCTCATCTCATCGTAGGAGTGCTGGGTCTACAAATGGGACTACACTGCTGTATCAGCCTTTCATATGAGTTCCAGGGATCAAACTCAGGTTGTCAGGCTTACATGGCTAGCACTTATCCACTATGCCATCTCCCTAGCCCTACTTTTAGTTTTGAGGAAGGGTCTCCCTGAGTTCCCTTAGCTGAGACTGGTCTTGAACTTGGAAGCCTCCTGTCTTAGTAACTGGAAATGCTTATCTTACAGATCTGTACCAGCTGGCCTTGCTACTTGAAAAGCTCTGAACCACTCTTAGTTTTGATTACAAAAAAAAAAAATCTAGGAAATAACAAGAAAAGCCTTTATTGTCTAAGGCAGTGTGGTCTATACTTAGGGAACCCTGGAAATCCTCTGTAGCTCATTTATGAGGTCAAAGCTATTGTCATGATACTAAAACATTATTTGTCATTGCCTATGCTGGTGCTGCAAATGAGTGGTGAGTTAGTTTTTTTGCTGCCATAACCAAGTCAGTGGTGCAGTGGCATTGGATTCCTCCCCATAGTGACTACTGTTGTGTATGCAGTATGTATCTTTGGCGAAGCAACTTAGAATATTTACTTTAATAAGTTTGTCTTTGGGTAATGTCTGTTGATTGTCATGTGACAGAGTAGGAATAACAAAGCACTTCTGTTGCGCTTGTGGTGATGCTTTTCACTTGAGCTCACACTTTTCTCTGGCCAGACCGTTGTACTACTTTATGAGCTGAACTGGCTGCTTTTTCCAAACACCATTTTTCTCTTGGGGGGAAAAAAAATAACAGCTAAATTGTTTGGTTTAGAAAATGACTGTTTTACAGACTTCTTGTTTTTAACTGACAAAGAAAACTTGTCACTTCAAAGAAAATATCTTGTGTTTGTTGCCAAAGAACTTGTAAGAAGAAACTGTAGTATTAGAAAGCTGCTGTGTTCTGTGCTCAGCCACACCTAGAGATAGATGCTTCTTACCTTATTACAGGGCTGTGTTCCTGTAAATACATTGTAGGCTAACACATCATAAGTCAAAAGTGCATTAACATGACTAACCTCTACAGCATCACAGTTGAGCCTCGCCTACTTTAAATGTGCCCAGAGTACTTAGTTAGCCTACAAAAACTATCTATGTTCTTATAAAGTTTTGATTGCCTATTGTGATCTAGAAGTATCTTCCTGTATCTAGAAGTCACTTCCCATATACTGCATAATACACATAGAACATGGTGTTTGGGTTTTTTTTGGGGGGGGGGAGGATGTGGGAGCAGGATCTCATGTAGCTCAGGCTGGCCTTGAATTCTTGATCCTCCTCATCTCCAAGGTACTATAGGACCATGTACAAGACTGTGCCTGATGTAGAGCAAGGCTTCTTAAACTTCCTCCAGTCTTGACTCCTTTTTCCCTGAGAAATTTTTACACAGCCCTGGGTATACAGATAAAATAAGCATATAAACTATACCTTTACTGGTAGTGACCCATAAAGTAATAGGTATACATATGATTTTACCATTTATTAAAGATGAATGCAAATTTCTTACTAACAAGATGATGTGCTTATTTTTAAGTAAGGAATATCTTGTCTGAATATTTGCTACTGCAGGATATATCATCATTAATGGTTTTCATACACATATCTGTGTTAAAAGCATAACATATAATTAAGCACAGTGATTAGTAAGCAAAACTCATAAGAAAGTAGAATAGAACATGTACTGTAATTATGTGAATGCTGTCTCTATGAAATTTTCTTACTATAGTCCTTGCAATAATGTGAGATAATAATAAAGGAAGCATTTATGACTTATCCACTTACCGTTATTAAACTCATGCTGTGTTACTGATAGTAAGTAAAAAACAGGGGTCATCAAGGTAACCCAGAGGGTATAAAAAAGTGTTTGTTATGTAGGCTTGACAAGCTGAGTTCTAACCCTTTTTTCCATTGTGGAACAAGAATATCAGACTCCTAACAGTTGTCCTTTGACCTCCACATGGGTACCATGATATGCATACATATTACACACTTACACACACACACACACACACACACACACTAATGATTTTATCGAAATAGGGTAACTCAATCATAAGCACTGTGAATACCATGACATTTGATGTGATCACTTCAGCCATCTGGAAAGTTGTGAACCGGCAGTAGTCAGAGGGATGACTCAAAGAGCAAGCTGGTGTGGGGTCTGATTTTCTCCTTCTACAATGGGAAAAAGAGTTGGAACTCAGATTGTCAATATAAAACTCACCAAGTGTTTATTTCTGAAACTCCCGGCTTAATGTTTTTAAACCATAGTTGACACCAGAAAACTTCCAAAATGAAGCTTCACAAAGTAAACTATGCAAAAAGGAGGTCTTCTATAATCTCTATAATATAATCTCTATTAATATTTCATGTGTTAATTAGTACTTGGAAATGTCTTCATTCTAATGTCTAATACATATAGCAACTGTACATACATCTAGCCAATATCAGCCAGAGAGTGCTAGATTCTGTCTGAAGACTGCTTATCTTACCTGAAGTTTTTACCTATTAACATGTTTTTATTTGTTTTTGTTAGTTTAGAGAATATATTGTAATGTAGCATGAATAATAAAAACCCAGAGACTAATATTGGGGTTCAAGCTGAAGGTCAGAATTGCAAAGCAACCAAGCCACCAGAGAGCTCTTACCTCAACCAAGGCTGGGGCGATTCTGTCACTTTGCATTATGATTTTCAGTCAAGCTTTATTAGATCATAAGCAATATATCATCGCACTGTAATGCTGGTTTGTCTAACTCCTTTACAAAGCTTTTGACTTTTATAATCTTAGTTAATTTATGAAGTATTAGAATTTATTTTTAAAATACAGCATAGTAAGGCCGGAAATATACTTCTGACAAAAATAAAAACATTACTTTCCACACTGTACCACACAGAATTGGTCACGGGTTATCTTTTCATCTTGCCTCTTTGGCCTTTCTTCATGAAACACATTCAGTTTTAAGATCTTTTAAGAAGACCATGCCTGTGTTCTACGTACTGTGTTTATGTACATGAAGTTTTAGGCTTCCAGCCTCCCTCCCCAGCCTGCTGCCTCTCTCCTGTCACTCAGTAAACTGTACTTCTGTTCTTCTACTTGCTTAGGCCAAATCTTTGGCTCTGTTTGTTTTCCTTTCTCCTTCTAGGTGTCTGTGCCTTCAGCATGTGTTTTCCTGGGCTACTGTCACAGTAGCCCCCTTAGTTGGACCTTGTCACTTCACTAAAACCTGCAGTTTCTCATCTCAATAGGCCTTGCAGCCTGCAGAGCTCTGCCATCCTCCTTACTGCCTGTTTCTCTGACATCGAGTCCTCCTAGTTCTGGCATTAGCTGTTCAACCTAGTTTGTATTTTATCTTACTTTTCTTATTGTCTCATCCATTTGTGGTGCCATGAAAGTTCAGTAAAGGTTAGCTTTCTGAAAGAAAACAAGGCAGCATAGGTAGTACGACCTCTTTAAACCTTTGAAAGTGGTATTTCCTGAACTTACACCTCAGTTTTCTGATTTCTTCTCATTACTTTTCATATATAGCAGCATGTGCTCTTTGTAGAAGAACTATTTCATAAGTGAATATAGCCAAACTATCTTTAGGATGAGACTATCTATACCAAAGTATAGCTGAAACAAAACAAAGTATAAACAAACAAAACAAAAAAACCTATAGGCTGATTTCATCCTGTGAGCCAGGTGTTCCTCTGAGTATGAACAGGAGATGTCTTTTCTTTCCAGATATGCACATGATGGTATCTAGGCCCGAACAGTGGGTAAAGCCAATGGCTGTGGCAGGTGCCAATCAATATACCTTTCATCTGGAGGCAACTGACAACCCAGGGGCTTTAATTAAAGATATCAGGGAGAATGGGATGAAGGTAAGTGGATGATAGGAACTTGCTTTAGACCAGTTCTTATCAAAGTTTGAAAGATAGGTGGGGAAAAACATGATAAAGGATTGGATGTGGGCAGCTGGGAGTCCAGAGTTAAAGTATGAAAGTTTGTAAGATATATCCCACTATGTTTCTGAAGGTTACTCCTTTGGAATCATTCACGTTTAATGGCCATATTACCTTAAAAAAATAAACAAATGACAGTGCTAGGACCCTGTCTGGCCTGAATGTGTCACTTAGAGGGGTAAGTGGATACACAGGGTGCAACCTTGGAAAAGAAGCTATGTGTAATTGATACCCACTGGCAAGGAGAAAATCACTTTTTTTTTTTTAAAGATTTTATTTATTTATTATGTATACAACATTCTGCTTCCATGTGTATCTGCATACCAGAAGAGGGCACCAGATCTCATAACGGATGGTTGTGAGCCACCATGTGGTTGCTGGGAATTGAATTTAGGACCTCTGGAAGAGCAGTCAGCGCTCTTACCCTCTGAGCCATCTCTCTAGCCCTGAAAATCACTTTTCTATACAGTGGAGTTTTACTGTCAGCCATACTCTAGGGCAGTCCCAGTCCCCAGGGGTAGATGGCCAATACAAAAAGAACTCCATGTCTTTGTTTGTTGTGGGGGAGGCTTTTGTTCTTTTTGTTTGTTTGTTTTGTCTGTTTTTTGTTTGGTTGGTTTGGTTTTTCTAAACAGAGTTTCTCTGTATAGTCCTAGCTGTCCTAGAACTCTCTTTGTAAACCAGGCTTGCCTCAAACCCAGAGATCCGCCTGCCTCTGATTCCAAAGTGCTGGGATTAAAGGTGTGCACCATCACTGCCCAGCCCATGTGTATTTTTTTAGAGAGAGCAGGAGAGAGTATAAAGTTGGGTGGGTAGGGAGGATCTAAGAGGTGTTGAGGGCATGATCAAAAAAGATTGTAAGAAAAAATAAATATATATATGTATATTTAGTAAAAAAACAAAAAATAAGGTAGCAAAGATGAATCCAAATCAAACAGACAAACAAAAACATGATGTTGTTCTCTGGATAATTTGTATTATGTTTTATAAGTTGTTTTTTTTTTTTTTTTAACTAGGCCATAATAATACAATAGGGAAATGATGTGAGTTAGCATTTGTCTGTTGCAGGTTGGCCTTGCCATCAAACCAGGAACAACAGTTGAATATTTGGCCCCATGGGCTAATCAGATAGATATGGCCTTGGTAATGACTGTAGAACCTGGGTTTGGAGGACAAAAATTCATGGAAGATATGATGCCCAAGGTAAATGAAATATTCTCTTCTGGGGTGAGGTTTTTACTATAGGTGGTATTCAGTAGTCATGACTGCATGTCTTTGAGTCATGTCCTGCTTTGGAGGTCAGGGGACAAAGATGCCTTCAGATACTGTAATACAGTATGATACGTTTTTCAAATAAAAGCTAACATTTTAACCATATTGCAAAATTTTTAAGCTGTTATTTTTGTGACCTTGGATCACTTGAGAGTTTTCATTAGTCTTTGCAAAGCCATCACAAATTGAATGTCATTTGCTAAACTACTTTAACATAATATGCTTCAGTCTATTGAAAGCGATCCCCAATAACATATTGTATAGAGCTAAGCTCGTGTCAGCTGTGATGTTTTGTGTACTTGGTTGCTTTCCCCTGCATGTCCACTGTAGGAGTCACTGTTTCTTGTGTATGTCTAGGTTCACTGGTTGAGGACCCAGTTCCCAACTTTGGATATAGAGGTCGATGGTGGAGTAGGTCCTGACACTGTTCAGAAATGCGCGGAGGTGAGACTGTGACTAGGGCAGTTCCTGGAGATGCAATCTGCAGGAAAGTCCTATCACCAAAGAATTGCTCAATTTGATTTTTCCCCCTTGGGAAAATATTTTTTGCTCAAATGTAGGAAAGTAAAGACCAAGTGAGTCTCTAAATACATAAATTGCTCAATAGTAAACCCTGTTTTCCAGAAAGAATGTGTTGAATGTTAATCCTTAACAAACCCATTAAGTTCTTTAAAAAGATACTTCTCAACTGAAGAAAAATAGAGAAATTTAACTGACCTAATCATGCTGTTCTTAGTATTTAAAAGTATTAGCTACCTGTTTGTGTCTTATAAGAAATGGCTATATCTATTTCTGTTGAAAGTCAAGGCCTAGTTCCCATTTGCCAAGCTAAGTATGTTTTGTCTAGGGAACTACCCTAGCTTAGTTCTGCTCTGGGGTGTCACAAGATAGCATCCCTGAGAACTGCATGTGACCATAAGTCATTAGATGGCAGCCCTTCCTGAGAACTACAGGTAACCCTAAATTACATGGTCATTAGACCTCAAAAGCTTCCTGAGAACTCTAGGTGACCCTAGGTCACATGGTTATTAGATGGAAGCCCTTCCTAGAGGACAGCAGGTGATTATGTCACATGGCTCATTTTTATTCAGAGTCATTTATAATGGCCATAGTTTTCTGCTGGATACAAACCATCAAACGCTTGGCAGTTACTGAGAATGCAGAGATAGGAGGGACAGGAGGAATGTGAGTTGTAAGTTCCGGGCCAGCCTGGATTACATGGCAAGACCCTAGCTTTAAAAAATAAAAAAGTCTTGGCAGTGATAAGTATTTTGAAAGCAGCTGGACAGATGATCACTGAGCACATGGCCTGTTAGATCCTATTAAATTGCTTTGTTTTGAACTCTTCTTTTCAGCAGTGCTGTTCCTGCTCAAACTAAAGACATAGTCCTATAGTCCTAATAGATTCTATCTCCAAGAAAGAATGTTATTGGAGATATAACACTCTGGTGTTGGGTGACTGGGTCTCATTGGAGAAATTTCCTCAACGTGTGATTTTGCAGCTTGTTTTACACAACAGATTGGTTTCCCTCAGCTTAGATCCCAGACCCAGAGCTTATGTTTGGAGCTATCTCATTTGAGCTTTTTAGGGTGTTCCTCCTACGCCCATCTCTTTGCCTCCACATTTAAAAGTTTTCTAAAGCACTATTAGCCATGCTGGATCCTAAGAAACATAAAGATACATTCTTGCATTGTTTCTGAGACAAAATGATAGCTTCTCATTTTCACACAATCTCCCTTCAGACTTTCTAGAAACAAACAGCTACATTGTTTCCTTAGTGACCGGGGTCATGGGTATGCATTAGGAAAGGCCTAAATGGAATTGAGGACCTAAGACTTCAAAGCTTTATCTAAGTATGTATTGACAGAGGTACTGAGTGCGCTTAGGACTAGTTAACCAATAGTCCAGTGACTTGGTAGACACATTTGCAAATAAATGTGTGGCCTCATTTATAAACTTTGTCCCTTCTTCATTCGGTGAATTAGAGCACTGTAGTCAGGTTTTAGAAAAGCACTGGCAGAGGCAAGGGTGGAAAGGCTGCTCTGGGGCTTCTGTGTTCCTTCCTTCCACTCTAATGCACAGCCATGTACTTCTTGCAGGCAGGAGCTAACATGATTGTGTCTGGCAGTGCCATCATGAGGAGTGACGACCCCAGATCTGTTATCAACTTACTAAGGAATGTCTGTTCAGAAGCTGCTCAGAAACGCTCTCTTGATCGATGAAGCCACAAGAAACCTGGTCTCTGCTCATGAAATCTTTTTTACTGGGAAAATTAACTACCAAATCACATTGAATCGAAGCAGTGCTGCATTCCAGTGATTAAATTCAATTGTGCAGGATGTTCAAGAGGTTAGAAATAACTACCTTTTTAGTGATGCCATTTAGAGATTAGCATGATGAAATGTTTATATTGGGAAAATGATTTTTTTGTAAAGAGTGAAAACATGGTTTTAGGATTACAGACAGAAATGTGTCTTATTGCCTAAAGAGGAAAATTAGCTACTATGAAAACCATTTTTTTCTGTATTTTTAAAAAGAATGTTCTGTTGTTTCTCTGATTTATCCCTAAAGCAAATGACATCCATATTTTCTGTTTCATGTCATTTGTGGTTTGTTTATATGCCTGAGAATATGAATGGAAAGGACTAAAATTAGAAGCTTTGGTGGGGTGTCATGTCATGGTCTGGCATCTGAAACATTTTTATTTTTCCTTATACTCGGTTTACTAAAGAATATAAAAATAATGTATGAAGCCGAGGGTTTCTGAAATGCAAGCACAGACTTTATCACAGCAGGCTATTCAGTAATTCCTTCCTACTCCTGGTGCTCACTCAACCACCATTCTTAGGGCTGTGAAATAATACCATTGTGATAGCTGTTAGCAGAAAGGAACCATATAGTCTGTCTCGGAAGCTCCACGGGGTTGAATCCAGGTTGGCCCCATTCTAGTTCTTTGATCTTATTAAAAATTACCCAACCTTTTTTTTTCCACTATTAACCATAAATGTTGAATGGAACCATAAATAACATGTGTTGAGAATTAAAAATATAACATGATCCTGGAAAGCCTATAGTTCTACTCTTAAGACTGTAGGGGACGCTCCACAAAAAATGGCAAGCATGTGTATGTTGTGAGTTATTAGGCACTTTGGTATAATTCCACTAATGCCTAGATTGTCGTATAATTGTTAGAGCAGCTATTTTTTGGGCTGGTACATTGAAAGGGTCCAGTAAGCAGGCTTTCTGGTATGTCCTACTGCTCTGACTACAACCAGCTCTTAAGAGTTGCATTAGTAAGAAGGTTTTTAACATTTTTTATTTTCAGTACCTATACCTTCTAGCAGAATCAGAGTAAGTCAAGAATACCCTGGAAATACAGATTTGACCCCAAGGATGTCTATATAATTTTTAAGAAAGAAGAAGTAGGCTAAACTAAGTATTAATAACGGTGTTTCCAGTTACTGAGACACTGGAAATACGTATCAGCGACTTCAGTCCCACTCTTGAATATGACAAGAATACAACCAGTATCATGAAATTTCTTCAGGCTACTATGAATTTTGAGAAATAGGTATTAAATTATAAGAACACTGATAAACGTAGGCATGAAACAGCTTGCTGAGGCTTTTTCCTGCCCTATAAGGTAAAGTTTATTATACTTGTTTTTATTTTTGGCTTAGGAAAAGCTTGTGCATTTAATCAAATCACACAATACAAGGCATATAGAAATAACTTTAATTAAAAAACTATGTAGAAGATTATAATATCATTCATGACAAAGATTTGAATTTATTTGCTGGGACAACTTGTATTTTTCTGGCTTTTGTTATCTTTTTCTTTAAAAATAAATGTACAGTAAAACTATAAGCAAAAGTTTGTAAGTATTGAATTTGAATGGTTCCCCCACCCCCCTTTTGCAGGGACCAATTTAATTTCTAATCCTCAACAAAACCTTAAGTATGTAACCCACAGACACTAAGCCAGGATTTTCAGGACTATGGGAACTACAAATTGAGTAAACTTTCTTTGCATAACAAAAAGTGGTTGATACAAATTGTCCTTAACTTTCATCTAGAAAAAAAAAATGGTATTATAGCTCCAAAAAGAATTTTCTTTAATGTATACTCCTCTGCATTCTACATTAAAGTCTTAGTCTTTGAAAAACTTGAATTCTTGATCTAGGAGCCTATTAAGAGTAGGTATTTGAATAAGCAATGGCAAGAAGAAACCAAATTAGAAGCTTCTAGCTATACATTAGCTAGACTTACAACCATATTATGATTTGTATGCTGTCTTACATTTTAAATTGCTGTCTGGAAAGAGGTACATAAAGCAAGTAAAACTCAGGGTGAATTTTCAAAGACGATAGTTTTCAAAATGTATCAATATATTAAACTCTTAAGTTGCTTCTCTTAATTCTTTTAGGAGTAAGCAGAAAGTCTGTGGTTAGTCCAAGAAAGAACAATGATTTCAAATAAATGAATACTGTATTATTTGATATAAGAATTTTCATAAATAACTTATATTGGTTAAACAATTTTTAGAATAAAAGAAAAAACAACTCCCTCTCCATAGTCAAAACTTTCAGATATCTGTTATCAGTCCACACCTGTGCTATATATTTATGTCAACTTTCATTGCATAGAGTAGTTCATACATGCAGTTTTAAGACTACGTGTGTGCAAGTGTGTATGTATATGTTCTGTATACACACTAGTACATTCTCATAAATTGAGGCAATTTTAGTGAACTGCCATGAGAATAGAAACAAAGAGTAGTTGTCACTTGATGCAAACCCAACTATATTGTCAGGGAGGGGCTTTTACCTTAACAGTTACCCCATAATGTGATTTGTCATCAAATTGCAGCAGTTAATATCTTAGTGCTTTCGATCTGTATTATCGGCAAACACAAGTTACTAGCATTTGTGTAGGTGAAAAGCTAGCTACTTCTGTGATTCAGGAAGGAAAAAGAAGCTTCTCTGGCCTGTTTCATGAACAGTTAAAGATGGACACAGGCAACACATCCTCCTTTTCTGAATTGTGACCAGAGGAAGTGGGAGATCCACAAGAGGGTTTAGGTTTCTTTTTCCCCTCTTTTCCTCACAGTTACATAGTTTTCTTAATATGTTCCCTGTCACCTATTTCTTTTAACATTAGTAACTCCTATAGCAAAGGTTTTATACTCTTCCATTCCATCTAACTGCATTTTTGGAGGGTGGCCATTTTCTGGTGTAGTGCTACAGAAGACTTCATCGTGGAAGGCTGTGCTTGCCCCCTCAGTCTGATCCTTTCTTTCATCTTGGCATAATAAGGCTGCTGTATCCTCATCCTTCAGCGGAAAAGCTCGTCGCTCCCACCGCAAAGACTGAAAGGGGAAACATTTTGACAGTTAAGTTCCAACTAACTTGATTATTTGTTAAAGAATTTGTAATGTCAGTTTTTATAATTATTCTCTGAGCATCTAAGTTCAGGTTTCATTTCTTCTGTCAAAATGGAATATACTGAGAATTTCTTGATCTTAAGGAATTACTTCTTTGCTAGGAAGAACAAGTACTGCCACAGAACCTATTAAGTTTGTCTTCCATTGGTTGTACTTCATTTCTGTCTCGTTATTACAAATACACATTTGACTTTTCCTAATTTTCTGCAACTTGCATATTCATTTCTATAGTCCTTCCATTCTTGATCTAGTTAGTTTTCAACACCTTTTGTGGGGTTAGATGCATGAGCTTTGTGTAGTTCTAGGATATAGTCTTCTACAGTAGGAGCTGGATTTGGTGGAGATAAGAAAAACCCCTGGTTAGAAGCAGGGAAACATAAACTATGCTTACTGTGCGCCATGTGCCAGTCTCCAGTGCTCAGGTTTGTTCTTTAAAGAAAGTGCAATAGAAGCCCCATTCCCTAACAGGTAAGTAAGTAGATAGGTGAAAGTTGTTACTGATATGCTATGCCCAAAAAATAAAAACACAAATAAATTGCTAATATAATGGAACCAGAGTGCCCTACTATAGACTCATGGACATGCTAGACTGAACATCTCACTGAGATTGATATGTAATAAAACAATTTTCAATTATCTACACAAGTGAGATGAAGTTAGGCTTACCTTGATTTCTTGACTGTCGTTTAAAGAAAGTGAGTCCTGAGCATACAGACTGGTGTTGTCTGCTAGGAGCTCAAGGGGGCTCTCGGCAACACACTGCTGAGCACTGCTAAGTTCACCTGGGTTTTCCTTCAGAACCAGGTCCTGAGCTTCCGCATTCTTACTGTAAGCTCTAACGAGGAAATAAATGAAAAGAGGGTGTCATAGTGTTTTTTTTTTTTTTTTTCTCACAATTTCTACTCAAGGTCATCTAATGATCTCAGTGTTGTTTTTAATCCAAGTTTTATAGTTCTTCATCCTCATTGAGTCATAGCTGTTACTTGATTTTTACAAAACAGAAAGGGCTATGTGTTTGATTTTTAGTCTGAATTCTTAGGTTATTCTATAGTTGTTTTAATATACATGAATGCCTCAATTCACATTTTTCCAGTGTATTTCTGGAAAGTTGTATCTAGGATGTGGAAAAGAACTGGAATTCTAGAGTTTCACTTAAATTAGGAGAACTCTTTAGACAAAGATTTACAGTGTAGCTTAACAGCTAAGCAAGAAAGAACTTTAATAGTATTTAACGAATTGCAATATGTTCCTTAAGTGAAGAGGCAGCTAGACATGAACTTGCTTTTTTAGTTGTGGCTATATTAAAAATTATGAAATGTAACTACAAAAATACTAGAGGTATTTTCAAATAGATTTAAATTGTATCATATTTATTCTTCCCTGAAGTCTATGTATGGGCTTGTTTCTGGTTTTTGAAGCAGAGAGTTTGGCACTACAGCACATGTTATATAACTCATGGTCATCCTGCTGCAGGAACTCTGAGCATGTGCCCATATCCCATGTTTATATTTTTTAAAGTTCCATGAACTATTTGCCTTTTATACTAAAATAAAATTTCTCAAAGAATTTGTGTTAAGTATTATTTTTGAGGTGTTTGTTAAAATGGATTACCTAAACTCAAGTACCTAATGCTGAGTTCACTGTTTAAAGTACACTGAAATAAGTTGCTTTCAGATTTTGGAGAAGAGGTCCTCACTGTGCAATCTATACTGGTCTTAAACTGAGATCCCCCTCCTCATCTCCTAATTAATTATTGGCATATGCCACCATTCCTGAATGAAATCACATCTTTTATGTAGGATGTTCCTAATATTTTCTAGGTAAGTATGATACGGTAGCTAGCAGCACATGAGAAAATAAAGTATTAGAGACTCATTTTATCCTGTATATTTCCCAGATATATTTTAAACGTAAGTTTGTATATGTAGATGCCACTTTATACAACAATTGACATTTGCATCCTGGTCTCCTTGTCAGTGGTCTTTCTGAATTTTATGGCTAATCTCTGTTCATTCCTCATATATTATGGCTGTAATGTTTTGAACTTTAAATACTTGCCTGTTATTTCTTCTGTGCCACTTGCTTTGCTCCCAGAGTGACCACCTAGCTTGCTCTCTCTCTTCATATTTTTTGTGTCTTAGGGAGAAGACTTCATCAGAAAGATCTTCTATCTGGTAAGATTTTTGAAACATGAAAACAGGTTTCAAATAGTCTTTGTGAACACAAAGCTTTTTAAAACATCCTACTCTTGGCCCGTGTTGTAATATATACCTAGATTATAAATGGGTTCACAATGCTCTCCATTTGCCCCAGCTCATGGGATTCTTTTGTTAATGTTTGGGGACAGACTCTTGCTGTGTTAAGGCAAGCTTGAATGTGCACCCCTCTTACCTTAGCCTCTGCAGTGCAGGGATGACAGGTAAGTGCTACCTTACCCAATTTACAAAAAACAGTCTTAAACTTTATTTATTCCACAGAGTAATTATGGATTTTCCATTATAAAGTACAGTGTTCTAAGAAATTGACATTGTCAAAAAAAAAAAAAAAAAAAAAAAAAAAAACCAAATTTAAAAAAAAAAAAAAAAAAAAAAAAAGCAAAACCAATTGAAGTAAATCAGAATTTAGTTAACTGACTTAGTTAACTGGGTAACTCTGGGGAATTTGGCTTTCCTGCCAGTGATCATTCTGAATTAGCAAGAGTGCAACATAAATGCAAAGTGCATTAAAAGTAAGATACTGGTAACTGAAAAGCAAGACCAATGGGCATTGAAGCACTATTAATTGATAGAAATTTTCATCTAAAGACTTGGAATTAGTTTCAAGTTGATTCCCATCAGTGTTCTTAATGTAATTTTATCTATACAGGTTTAGAATCCTTTACCAATGATTTCAGTATCCAAAAGTTGGGGGAGAAAAAATCCAAGCTTTTCATAAAATTCACAGCCTGATCAGACTGTCCTTGCCTCTTGGTATTAACACTACATATGTACCACACTGCTTTTGTTTTGGTTTGGCTTGGGAGATACACTATGCTATATAATATTAGTTTTGCAGTCAAATTTGCAAAGGAATATTTTTCTAAAAATCATTAATATCTTTTTTGAAAAAATTATTTTTATAACTAAAAATCATGGTTTATATTTCCTTTTAGATATCTAAATATGAAATTATTTAGGCTTTATAATATAGAGGTGCAATTATCACATTAAACATGGGCAGCTTACCTCTTCTTTGCTTAAGTTATGTTCATCAAGAGGCTGAAGAACAACCATCCTCCAGCTGTTGAAAATACAAATGAATTTTAAACAGCTTTTATCCAATTATAGCAGTTTTATTTTCTAAACACAGATAAACATTTGAGTGTTATTTCCTCAAGACTTCCATAATTCAAATGGTTGTATTTTAATAGTTTATCATTTTTAAGAGAAAAAATACTTTTATAAAAGAAAATAGAAGATGAATCTTTATACCTTACAATGAATAGTCTGGTCTACATAATTGCATTTTCTAATTATATGCTGTTTTTGAGTTAACTCACTGGTAAGTTGATAAACTGGCTTGGCAAAAACGAGGAGAAATCTGAACTGCTTCAGTGTTTTCCAGTTTTCTTTGGTATGGGTGTGTGTATCATGCCCCTTTTTAATTAGTAGCTTAATAACTGGCTCACAGAATTCTCCACTGCGAGCAGAAAACATTGTTGCTATGAAACACTATTAACCAGAACAAGATACATAACTTAGTTCCTACTAGAAAAGTACCAGACTAATTCCTCAGATTAATCGTGAAGTAGTAAGTGAACTTAAGGAATTAAAATGGGGATGGGTGGGAATTAATATAGCTGTTACCTGGCCCATGTATTCATCTCCAACTTTTTCTATTTCCTAACGCCATACTCACATCTAAAAGAGACTGCTTTCATTGTTGCTCTAAAACAGGCTGCCTGTATTGCCAGTGGAAGCAGATCTACGCACTGATTCCAGGAGTGCCTTAGTCTGGTTGTATAAACTATTCTAAACCTCCATGTCTGGCTTGACCTTGCAGACATGTGTCTATATAAATAACCATTTTTACTCTTATGGATTATTTTCCTAGATATTCCCTCTTATTTTTCTATTTGATTTTTTATTGCTGAATTATAGATAAATCAGCAACTCATTTTTGTTTGCAAACATTACTGTCTTCACAGTGTACATGCAAATACAGTTGCTTCTTTGAAATCTTTGTAACCAAGTATACCTCTATCATAAAAAGCAAGAGCTGTTTGTGTAGTGTTTACACTGCTGAAATACCATGCTAATAAATATACATAATGGATACTTAAATGTAACTAAGTGAAAATCTTGAATGCTAAAGTTAATCAGTTTAATATAAAACTTCTTTTACTGTTTCCCTTCTATGCAAATAGGGAAGAGGGGGACATTCTCCTTTTAGTTAAAACTTGACTCAATTTAAGTTTATTAAGAAAGAAGAAAGAAAACAAATGTATGTATACATACCGTGGAGTAAGTATTTCTTTATACTGGAGTTTCTCTAATTTAGCTGGTGCTACTAATGACATGGGAATCACAATGTTATCTATATCATACGAGCTCTCACTTCTTAACCTTCTTCGTGCAGTATTCTGTAACACAGAATTATTGTACTAATTTACAGTAATGTTTTATTACCTCTGGTAATATTCCTTCAGTAGTTATATAAAAATAATACATAGTATATCTGTGACCTAATTTTTACAAATTCATTGTTATCAAACTGATTATAAAAATGCTAAGAAAGCCAATTAAATTAAGACATCTCTTTTGGACCACATGCAAGATATATTTTGTGTGGAAACACACATGATTATTTGAAAGTCTGTGAAATTTGGCAAGGACCTGGGTGAAAATGGCTGCTGCAGATGTTCATATATGTGTTCCTGGCCCCTGAGCTTCATCTAAACCTTCTTACCTGTGACCTCTCTACTCCCGGGCAGCAAATAAAATAAGATAATTTGAGAACAACACAAATCCCATACTTTAGTTTTGGATGTTAAAGAGTAGAGATGGTCATAAGTATTTTAATATAAATGAACTGCTAGCTTCCAAGTAAAAATTATTTATTTAACCAAATTTACTATTTCCTAAAAAGATAGTTCTAAAATATACTAGTGAATAACACTGGTATTGATTAACAAAATATTCTGACAGTTTTTATCAGCTTATTTTAAAAATCTATAAAACTAATTTAAAATTTATAAGATTTAAAAACAACCTACTTGTGAAGATGAATTTTGGGTTCTTGATGTAACATTGGCATTAGAGACAGCAGTAAAATCGCAATGGGATCCTGGTTCTGTACGTTGAAAAGCAAAATCTTCAAATCTAGTTCTTTCTCCTGCTGTGGAAAGAATCCTTCAGAATGTCACATGTTAAAAATGACCACATGTATTAGAATTATTTTCCAAAATAAGTGAGAAGTGCTTGAGCCTTGTTTGTTTTTTGCTTGCTTTTAAAGACATAGTCAAAAAACAAAAGAAAATTATAAAACAAGAGTCTTGCCTATATTCTTGCTACCAAGTATTTCTGGGGCCTCCGTGTTCTCTTGACATTGCTCCTTGAGTAACCTTTTCCATTGTCTTTTCCCTATTCTTTTTTTTTAAGTGTCCCATTCAGGCTGTATTGTCAAGACCGATCTTAACTTTGCCTTTTTTCCTTATCTTTGCCTGTCTTACTTTCTGTGTGATTTCCTCGGGTTGGCCTTCTGAGTTTTTACTTTTATTGAGTTTCATTTATTTTTATTTAATTTTATTTATTTGATATAATATCCTATACCTGATTTGTGAATGAAATTCATTTTCTCAGAATATTCATCTACTTTTATTGGTATTATATGTTTTGTCAAGTTCTGCTTTTTATTCCTACTTGTTGGAAGTATATTTGTGTTTCTGTTCACTCATTTAGTATTATTATATGTATTACTTCAGTATAGATTCTTTAAAAAGAATATTTTCTTCATAATGTAAAGTGTAATAGAACCAACTCATATTTACCTTTCTTCAGTTGAAAAAAATATTCTTTATTGGTCAGTTGCTTCAAAATTGACATATTGAAATTGGTAATTGCCTTCTAGGCTTCTTTTATCCCAGAAGAATTATTTTTCAGGGCAATGTCTTGTTAGGGAGAAGCTTAATTTACCAATTATTGTAGTTTTCTACTTATTTGTAATATATCATTTTATTTGATAAATTTGAATCTATTACTCATTTCTATTTAGGTCATTAATCTATATTTCATAGTCTATGTTACTAAGAGTTTCCAACTTTTCCTATTTATTGGCATGTATATATGAAAGTTCCTTAAATGTTAGGTGATTTTTGCTTATCTGTTCTTAAGAGACACTTAAAATCTCTAGATGCATTTGAGAGCTTGGTCATTTTCTGCCACAATGTGTTTGATCAAATTGTAACTGATTATAAATCTGTTATTTAAAGTGAAATTTCCAAAGACACTAGAGATAAATTTAGATCCATTGTATAAATTATAAATCAGTACATATTAGATGTAATTAGTTTCTAATTTATTGAGTATGTCCATGAAATATAACATCTGGGAAAGATTTGATTCATGAATATGATATGTGTTAGGACAATGAATAAGAACCAGATGTGTATAGATTACTTTCTCTTCAAAATACATCCTGCTTTGGTCTTCTTCTGTATCATTACAACTATAACTGTCATCTCCTAAGTCCCCACAACAAGCCACACTTGATATTATTAGAACAGGTCTGTTTTCAAATACTACCGCTTGTTAATCTTATAAATGTGAGTGAGGAGACTCCTCAGGAGAATGAATAGGGCATAGAAGTTCCTCAATTGAATCCTGACCACTTTCTCCAAATCTAAGACATTTAGGAATACTCATAAATTTCTACCAAATAACCATACTGACCTAGTCTGAGTCTAATGTAACCCTGGAGACCAAATCCAGCACAGATAATAGCCAACAGAAGGCAAGAAATTGGGAAACACGAAAGAAGTAATTAATTGCCATAAAGTGTACAGATAGTCAGCTAGCAAATTCTGAATTAAGTACATGAGTATACTCAGAGGGACATGGGTGTTTTAGGTAGTTACTAAATGTTCTGGATTATAAATTCCCATGAGACAAGGGTTCTTTTTAGAATATAATTTTTTATTTTCAATATTTAACACTAATGGTCACATCTTCATTTTAACCTACCTAATGCTGTTTCACTCAAGTGTCTCTTTTTTCTTCCCTGTAATAGTTGTGCAGATGACTGTGACCTTATCTGAGGCTTACATATAGGTGAATATCCATTTCTCCACTGATTCAGAGAAGTCCCTTGTACTAAAACAAATGAAAAGAAAGGCTGTGTGAAGCTTTTGTCCTTTAACAGAGACAGTGAGCAGCTAATTTGTTTATACTTATAATGTTGAAATTTTTAAACTATTAGTTTAAAATTACATGAAATGAAATAAAACAAGTTACCAATATGAATGGTTCCTAAACTGAAAATAAATTAAATAGTAGGATTTTTCAAAAATATTCTCAGGAAATATCTAATTTCCATTTTTATTCTACTTTTTATAACTGGATAAAAAGAAGGGGCAATGTTCTCAATGTCTTCAAAATCAGTGAACACTGGTTCAGATCTGTGAATCTTGGATGAATGATAATTGAAGTCCTGGGGTTATCCTTAAATCTAGAAACACTCTGCACCAGGGAAGTATCAACATGTTCATGACACATGGACTCTGAAAGCAAGAACCTCATTTCACCCAACTGTGACAATGATACCACTGTTCCTTAACTTTTAAAACCTAAATTTAAAATAATTTGAAGTCCACTATTTCTGCCTCAGTTTCTTCACCTTATTCATAATAGCAACTGTCTTCAGATTATGAGGATTCAATAAATTAATTCCTGAAATAAATGTCTCCCTTGGGAAATGTGGCCATAAATGTTAGCTTTATCATCATGAGTGCTGTGTATCTGAACCTCATAGTTCAAGTATTGGTTTAATCAGTACCTTGGCTCCTTTGGGGGAACAGGGGATAAAGGTTGGGAAATGTGGAAAGGAATAGAAAAAAAAAAATATGTAGACTCAAGTGTCAAAACACACCAAGGGGAAAATAAAAGGCATAGCCTAACAACAGTTATCCCAAATCCAGTTACAAGGTGGCAAAGCACTCTAAAAATGACAGGCCAGATTTTTTTGTATATAGGCTTTATGCATAGATGCACACATTTGCCAGCAAAAACAGAAGAATATAAATCAGAATTTTTGAAGCATCTCTGCAAAATTAACATCCTATGAAATTTTGCTGAAGAAATCCAAAGCAGAAGTATGAAGGAAAATGTTTACCACAAAAATGTGATAAATATCAGTGTTTTTCTAGACCTGCAAGAGAATAAAAATGGCAATAGAAAAATGATGTGGAGCAACTGGTAGACTGTGGAAGCCAGCACCTACCTCACTCAGTGAGGCTGCTTACAGAGCTTATCACCCAGATAACAGAATCTAGCTTTCCCAAGAGAAATTGGTTTAAGGTAAGGCCCTCATCATCATCTTTGAAATGTTCTGTGTTGTCCGCCTCCAATCTGAAAATAGCTTTGAGTCCAATCTCTGCTTTTCTCACTAACTGATTACTGTAAATAATAGTGGTAAAACAGTGCTAGCCATAAATATCAGTTTCAAATGTGAGTATACAAACTCCTAAAATCTTCAGTACTGACACAATACATAAAACAACAATCTAGAAGTGAAAGAACCATCTTAAGGAATGGTTGCTGAGGTGCTCTCTGAGTATAGAATAAGAAATCTGTAAAGCCATGAAGAGAAAAAAGTTCTAGAAGCCTCTGCAGAGTAATCTCATAAATGTCAAAAATACTTGTTCACATTTAAAAATTATAACTCAAGCAATGTAACAGAATAGCCACAGAAGAAAAATTAAAATTTGAGCTGGAAATGCTTCCACACTTGAATAAACAGAATGAAGAAACGAAAATGGAATGATGAGAGGGCAGAATAAATGAAGAAGAACATTTGAAGAAATAGCATTGCATTTTTCCTGAATTCCTTGCTGTAACTCTTAAGATTTCAAAGCATTCACTTGAATGCCAAACATCAAATTTCTTTAAAAAAAAAAAATCTGTTGTGTGTTATAATATACAGAGATAAATATATCCTAAAAATTGCAAGAAAGGAATTTAAAAGATTACTGTAAAGGAATGATGATTAGTGAAACTGGATATAAGAAAACAATGACTAGGGAAAATAGCATTCTGAAGACATCTAAATTTCCTTCCGTTCAGCAAATGGAGAGAAAGATGTTAAGTAGATACCTGGACAGTATAACTAAAGAGCTGGAAGTTTCATCAATTGTACATACACCTTTGCTGTCAGTTGAGTATTTTAAGCAAGTTCCATCTAGATTACCCTTTAATTGTCTTTGTTGCCTTATAGGTCACAGTGAGGGGAAAGAAACAGTATAAGGTGCAAGACAGCATGGTGAAAACCAGTGAGCAGGACCCAGTCTCTGTTGTCAGAGCTTAAGGATCTTCCATTAATTCCCTAAAGCACTTAAAAGGATAGAGACAACAAATTGTAATCTAAGTATCATTGGCTATAGTGATTAAAGGGAACTAAAAATTAGACTTTTCAGTGTAAATAGGTTATTGTGTTGGACTTAATGTAGACAGAGATTTCAAAACAAGCTTACAAGATCATATTGGATGAGGCAGCCTGAGCCCTGAGTTTGGTATTACTTATAGGTTATGACAACTTTGACATACTCAGATTCACAAAACAGCTGAAACAATTCAAAGAATTTCCATATGCCAAATACTTGGACCGTCTTCTGTATGAATTCACTTTTTGACATAATGTTCCCTTACAAAATACACAATGGTTTTCAAAAGCAAGATCTTTTATATACCCACATAATAAGACTCAGGAAATAGTACTAGCTAATTTATAAACTTACTCATAATCACCAGTTGTCCCTGTAATTTTTATGGACTCTTAATTATGTCTGTGGTGCATTCTTTAGGTCTTCTCTTAAAGTCCTATCTCGAAGAGCTCTGCCCCCTTATTCATACCCTATAATACTTTTGATAAAGACAGGCCTTTCATTTGGCTTTGTCTGACATTAAACTAATCATGTATTTACACAACTTTACAATTTGACTTTACCCCTACCTTCTTTGAAGTCAACATAACTTTGTAAATATAGGACAGATTAAAGTGCTATAGTGAGCCAAAGATCTTTCTGCTTATTTCCCACATTTACTCTGCAGAAATACCAGGCTATTTGTAGATACTTGGAAATACCACATTGTCTTATATCTCCACAATATGTGTTTATTTGCATTATTTAAAGTCAACATTGCATTAGTAACATTCCATAACTGTGCCATTGTCTGAATCAGCTGAGACATAGTTGAAATGCAGTCTTGGGTCCCATATCAAACTTCTTGAATCTGAACCTGCATTCTAACAATATTCTTCAAGTAATGTTACATGTTGAGTTTGAAGAACACTCATTTGGAATCTTCATCTTTGTAAATTCCAAAATGGCAGTTAGAATCTTTATTTTTCTTGAATTTCTCTCTAGTTCTCTTTGTCCTTAACCTCTCTTTTTGTATTATCTTAGGAAGAGTTATAGATTGTTACTATATTTCTTTGTAATAGTTATTCTTGCTGACTTTCTCCTTTGCTTTATCTATCTCTAAGCAAAAGTAAAAGAAAATTAAATATTTATTTTATTTTTATTATATACCTATATAATATATAAAATACATTTAACTTCCTGTGTTTTACCCTTGATATTTCACCACTTAATATTCTGCTTAACATCGAGTACCTTCTCAATATGGAACCTAATTTATTTTGGACATAGGAAAAATCCTAGTGCTTATTTGAGTTGACAATGGTAGGTAATAAAATGGGGGAAAGAACCTGGTACACAGAAGAATACTGCAACATGAAACTCAAGTATATTCCACTTCATAGTTCCATTTTATGTGGCATGTGACATATCATATTACTCAACATCAATTCATTGCCTAACATTTATGCTGCATTCTTAAGCCAGACCATTAGGAGAAACATAAACCCCCTTCTCTAATGCATTCTATCTGTTCACTTTTGCATACTCCCTTTCACTTAAACATGTACATTTTATAAATTTTATAATTTATACATATCTCAAATATAAAGTCAAAGTTTAAATTAGAACACAAGCATAGGTGTTTTTACCTCATACTTTATACTCATTATTATTATTTGGATATTTCCTAACATTTTTCCATCTATTACTAAGGTATTCTGTAGCTACTAGACCTCAGCTGTTAACCACCACCATCATAAGGAACCACTGCAGCAGTCTTTAGAATACTGTATTTCTGGGTTTTTAAAAAGAATTTATTCTTAGGATAAATCTCCAAGAATAGAATTTTGTCATATTGAAGTACCTGAATATAGCCTATATTTTCTCTAATACTGCTTCTGTCTTCTTAAGCATAGGTAATTGCTCCTTGCCATAGATGTCTTGATTTTTATTCTATAACTTCTATTGTGAAAATTTTTAAGACAGAGACTATAAAATTAATGTTGCACCCATCTTTAACATAATCAACTAATGACTAATCTTGTGTCATCTCACTCTTGCAAATCTTTAGGCTGCAATTTTTAAAAATAGCTCTACACTTCTGTCAGCATGAATCTCTAAAGAACTGATAAATTATATGTCTAGTTAAGTGATCACAATGCATTATAAAAAATGACAAAAAAGTCCATGTTCATATTTGGATTGTCTACAAAGCATATTTGATAATAAGGGGTTTTTATTCTTTTTTTTATTATTTTTTAAGCTGGATGGTGGTAGTTCAGGCTTTTAAGCCCAGTACTTGAGAGGCAGAGACAGGTGAATCTCTGAGTTTGAGGCCAGCCTGGCTGGACAGAGGAAAACCTGTCTCGAAAAGCAAAAAAAAGATAAATATTTGTATGTATAAAACTGCTTATATAGAATATGATTTACTTAATAACTTTTACATAGCTGTAATTGAAAAAAATCCCCTTTTATTACATTGTAGTATTGATTACATTGTTTCCATTCTTAGATGAACCTTTAAGATAGTTTTAACCAATTAACATAATTTTGTCATATGTAGGTTGTTACTAATCTTATCACAAAAATGCTGAAACATTTCTGAATAAAGACATATCTAATATTAGACTATTTTTGAAAATAATTGGATCATTATACAGAGTTTGCAGTCCAGTAAATATTTTTAGTAGGTACAAAAGTTGTGATTTAGTTTTAAACTCTCCAAATGAGTCTTAGTGCTTCCTAAATGGCCTGTATCAATCTGTGGTGTTATGTGAAATGTTCAAGAATACTGTTTTTACTGTAGCAATAGGAATTATTAAAAATGTTTCATCTTACCAATAGGCAAAATATTTAAACATCCACAAAGTAACACACGAGTTCTTGGTAAATGTTAGATTCTCATTTTCATTATAGTTAGCACCAGGGATATATAGATTTTCTAGTTTTCTTAAGACACTGTTAACATATAGCTCTTTAATCCATCATATATAAGAACTCATCTATCTTACATTTGTTTTAATGTGCTATATGAGAACAGATCATAATCAGTCATTGTTTAATTCTACTGAGTATAAATAAAAAGTTACTAAGAGCATAACCTTTGACCTAGACTGCTCTCTAGGCCAACCTCACTGTGATTTGCTTATTCAAGAATAGCAGTACCTGCCTTTTGTTTAAAGTATCTTCAGATACTGTCTGTATATAAGACTACATCAAGCATTTGTTGTTCTTGTCATTGGTTTAAAGATTTATGTATGAGTGTTTTGTCTGCATAAATGTATTTGTATCATCTGCATACTTGGTACCTGTGAAGGTCAGAAGAGGCCATAAGATTCCTCTGGAACTAGAGTTGCAGATGGTTCTGAGTAACAATGTGGGTGCTGGGAACTGAACCCAGGTCCTCGGCAAGACCATGTGCTCCTAACTGCTGTGCCATCTCTCAAGTCTCTTCTCATAGATACTTATTGACTAAAGCCTCCTTACACTATAGGAATACACAGTAAGTCCTTGTTCTGTCTCTAGCCTTTTGTCTTATATTTATTTAGTTTCTTTGAGTTAGCTTTTGTTCGGTACCATCAAACTTTATTATAACTATAAAGCATTTTGATATATGACACCATCTTTCGATATTTGCTATCAACATTTTTGCTGAGATGAAATTGAGAATGATTTTGTTCAAAGAAAATGTTTCAGCCAGGCATGGTGACATACACCAAGAACCTTAGGATTTAAGAGGCTGAGATGAGTGGATCATGTGTTGAGAACAGCAGAGCTGCCTCACTGTGTCCCACTTTTTCCCGGAAGAACTACTGTAGCCCAGGCTTCCCTAATTCTGGCAATCCTCCTGTCAGCCCCCTAGCGCTGAGATTGTAGAAAAAGAATTCTTAATAAATGTAACTTTAAAAAATGCTTTCTTGCCAAGCTTAGTGGTGCATTCCTTTAGTTGCAGCACTTGGGAGGCAGAGGAAGACAGTTCTCTGAGTTCAAGGCCAGCCTGGACTAAACCAATTTTGCTCCAGGACACTCAAGGCAAACAGAGAAACCTTGTCACAGAAAACATCCTTTCCTGATTCTAATAAAGAGTCATCTTAAGTTACAAAGTGTCTTCTAACCAGAGTAGTTTCTTCCCTCCATATAGGAACATAATCTTTCGTGCTATGTCCCTGGAAAACTATTAAAGTTTTCTTACTAGAGACACTGCCATTTGTCTTGAATAAAGAGTGTGTTCCTTTATATAATCTACCTAATTGGTACTGTAATTTATAAAAGTTGGTAGGCTTTTTTTGTTTTTTTCTTTTTTAAATCTGTTTTCTTCCTATGCCTCCGTGTTCTTAACTGAACTCAGGGCCTTTGAAAACTGAGCAACACACAGTCCCCATCCTCAGCTCTAAAATGGCTGGTTTTTATAACAAAAACCACTTAACATATTTATTTTACTCTGGAATTGTGCAGGTATATATGTTTTACCTGGGAATAGTTTGCTTGCCTTCTTTGATACTTGCAGACAGATAGAAATGGTGTTTTTTTTTTTTATTTCATATTGCTTCTAAGCATAGACAGTGTCTTCATTCATTTTCAGAGCACTCAAACATTATAATCTTGAGATTTTATATATAAACTTTAATTCTTAAAATTATAGAAACCAACTACAATTTATTGTGATTTATGTCATGAAATAATACAAATTTTTATTCAGAAAAACTTACAATACTATCTGTATATTATAATGGTTCCCATCTTTCATGGTCATTTCATGATTATCTATTTCTAAATATAAACAATAAAATCTATGCTATCCTATGGTTTTTGGTATGTTTCTATATGTGGTTGAGCTATACATTTTTTCAACACTACCAGTTCCTTTTATGTTTTCTCCTCTTTAGGACTTGGGAAGATCACCAAGTCTTTTATAACTTTAATATCTAAACTAATAAAGTGAATCGGTATCCTTAATTTTACCATATAATACTGTTTTCTACTTGTCAATACTTCATAACTTTCATTCAATAGGTGTTATATGTTGTATCCTAGTAGTGTTCCTATGTTCATGCATTCTTTCATCCGTCTGTTCATTCTCCCTCTTTTCTTTCCTCATTTTATCTCCCACTCCCATGCTCTCACCTTCTACCCTCTCCCTCCCCTTCTTATGTTCTAGGACCAAGGGCCCCAAACACATGCTTGTATGTGTGTATGTGTGTGTGTGACTTAAGGGGAAAGTGTATTAAAAATTAAGGATTTGCATTTATTCTTTTGTTAAATTTTATTTACTTAGAATGCAAAAAAATAAATAAATAAATGTGGGCGATGTAAAAACATGGACAACTGCACCGGATTTGTAAATGTGACGTACCAGGTGGTGGCGCTATGATACAGTCACCTACAAATGGGTTTTCAGCAAGCTCTCCCTTCACATCGGTCTTCTTAAATAAGGTCTCAAAATGAAGATGAAGGGGCATCTCTGGAAAAACAATGGATAACATTATTTTCAGGGAACACCATTTTCCATAGCCCAATACTAACTTTGTTTCCTTTTAATCAATAGTGCATAAGCTTAGAAAAGCAAAAGTTTACACAGTAAGAAGTTTGGGAAGTACATCAGAGTACATTTCCAAGAAGGTTGGTAACTATGTTTAGAAAGCTACTAATTTAGTATACTTAATAACAAGAAGCTAGCATGTGAACAACTCTAATATCTTTAGTATGTAAAAAGATGAGTCATTATAAATGTAACTTAGATGAACATACACAAATGCATCCAAAAGATCTATCACTGTTCTAACAATAACACCATGTGTTCAACCACTGTGAGTGCTGGAAATATGACATAACCAGAGATGGCCCTTGTTCTTCCTATGTACCTCCCTAAAGTACCTGTGGACTTTTATTTGTTTGTATTTTATATTTATATATGGTATCTGACATAGAGAAAATACTGAGATTTTTGTCAGATACAAGAAGCTTTCGATTGTTGGTAAAGAAGCTAATCTTACTAGACTAAGATGTCTTAGAGTCTGGAGGATAAGTTTATATTGATATAGTCTCAGAGTTATGATTTAGAATGAGGTTATCTGAACCCTCTGAGTTCCATCAAGAGAGAAGCAAATTAGTTAATAATAAAGAGTAATAGTGTGGGTCTGATGATGGATTACCTCAGCTCCTGGCTCCACTGTTCATTAGCTGATGATCTTGGGTGCACAACCTCTCCAAGTTTAATATGCTCATGTGTAAGGTGAAAGGACAGCAGAATGTGCTCTCATGGGGTTATGAGAATTGAACAAAATGTCCAGTGCACTTAGTACAGATAAGTAGTTCCAGGGCTATACATAAGTAGTGAGGCCCGATGTCAACAATGCCCCCCTCCAAAAAAAAAAAAAAAAAAAAAAAAAAAAAACATTTTTAAGAGATTGCCTGTACCTAAAAGGTTATATTTCATTACAGAAAATACTCACATTTTCATGAGGTGGCTTACCTGATGGCAATGACAGCACAGGATGAAAAGAGGAATCTAGTTTTGAAACATGTTCTCTTAATAGCTGGGAGTTGGAACTCTGTTCCCAGTTGTCCCAACTTAAAGGCGATCCCATGTAAGGTATCTGTGTTGCATTTAAAAATGCTTCTTTTGAAGGTAAAGTCTACAAGAAAAAAAAAAAAAGCAAAGATTTTAACTTTTGCTTTAAGACTTGATCAAAGATTTACATAGTATGTATCTCCATGACACTAGAACAGAGTCCTGGCTTAATAAGTCACCTTGAAACAGAATGAGAGAACTTAATGCATTGGCCATGCATCTGGAGAAGTATAACCAGCCCCTTTGGCGTTTTTCAAAATAAAGAGCAGTATCCATGAAAATAAGTCTTTCTGTCATCATAGGAAGACAGAGTAAAGAGTCCATAAAGTCATATCTCTTCTACTTTGGTCATATTCAATTTCTTTAAAACTAAATTCCTCCTATAGAAGCTGTACACATGTGGGGCTGGAGAGATAGATAGCTCAGCAGTTAAGAGCACTTTCTACTTTTCCAGAGGACCCAAGTTAGATTCCCAGTGCCCATATCAGGCAGACCACAGCCACCTCTACAGATCCTTTGGGTCTGACACCCTCTTATAGCCTCCTCAGTCATCTGCATACACATTTTTGCCAGATGTTTTCAGTTCATTTTTATTGTTTCCATTATAAAATATTAGTTTTTTAAAGATTTTTTATGGTGTATAAGTGTTTTGCTTGCATGTGAGTGTCTGGTGCCCACAAAGGCCAGAAGGTGAGGGATACCTCAAACTTGACTTCTGTGGAGTTGTGTGCTACCATATCTGAGCAGGGAGTTGAACTCATGTCCTCTTCAAGAACAAGTGCTCTTAACTGCTTAGCAATCTCCCCAGCCCTATTAAAGATATTTTGAAATGAAATTAACTGTTGTATATTAAGTATATATCCACAACTACTCCCAACTTTCTTATTCCACCCATGTATTTATACTTTTGTCTTCAGTAGGAGATAGGAATCCAAATATATTCTCCATATGTAATACTAGTTTGAACTTTTTAGTTAATTCTAAGATTTTGTTATTTGGAAATGCTAACCATACTGAATGCATTCAGTTTCATTAATAAATAGAAAACTGACCAAAGGAGATATTCTTGTTTTGCAGCTGATTATAACAGGAATGACATGAATTTATAAACATTTCAAATGATGTGTGTGGGGCTGGGGGATAGGTCAGTAGGTAAAGTCCTTGCCAAGCAAGGATGCGACGAACCTGATTATACAGTACCCATGTAAAACACACTCCAGCTGTGGCAGTATGCACTTGTAATCCCAATGCTGAGAAGTGGAGACAGAAGGATCCTGTAGGTTCAGTGGCCAGCCAGTTTAACCAATTGATGAGCTCCAGTTTCAGTAGCCCCTGCCTCAAAAGATAAAATAGGGCTACCAACCCACTGTGGTCTGAAAACTTAAGAGTCTACTTCCAAAACTGTGCCCTATCAACCCTCTTTCTGTATGAGGGCCACCTTTCCTAGATAAGTCAAAGAATGTTCTCTTAACAGCAAATAGAGACCATCACAGAAAAACCACAACTGTACCCAGTACACAGATCAACAGAGCATAAGCAACAGAGCTGCTTTATTGGTTGTCCAACACAGAGTAGTCAGCCTAGAAACCTAATGCACATTACAACAATGAACTCAGCAGATTATATATTTGTGTGTGCACATACACTTGTGTGTGTTTTTAACAAATACAATCAAAAGAAAAGGAGGGTACCAACTTGAGAGTGAGGAGCATTGGGGAGGTTCAAGAGAGTAGTTGGTAAGGGCTGTATACAAAAGGGAGGAAGTGATATAAAACTATTTAAATTAAAAGAATTAAGATGGGCAGGAAGACATTGAATTATTAACCTCTCCTCTCCAGACATACATATACAGTTGCACACATACATCTAAAAGTAAAATTTTAAAGATGATGCAGGTTGTAGGAGTTTTTGGTGAATTGTTTACCAACATATATTCCCAGGTTGCCAAACTAACTTTTAATAGTAATTTTTTTCTGAGCCTATTGAATGCACTGTTTTTCCATGGCAAATTGCATTAACATATTTATAAAAATAAAGGTCAAGTCAACCTTGGATTGTTTTGAAGAATCTTAGTAGGGATTTGTCAGATTTACATTTGACTCAGCAACTGGATTTGTTGATTTCATTTGTTTTATATTTCACTGATCCCTGCCTTTTTTAGGATTAATCAAGTACTCTGCTACTCTTTCTCGTCGTTAGCATGTTCTTTTACTATTTTATTTCTATTGTATTATTTGTGTGTGATATACAAGGATGGACATGTTTCAGTCTGTACATTTGTGTGCGTAGAGGTGCATTCATTCACCTTGTGTACATGTGAAGAAGCCAGAGATTCATGTCAAGGTGTCTTCCTCTATTTCTCTGCAATTTATTTATTTTTGAGACAGTGTCTCATTTAACCTGATGCTGGCCAGCAAAATCAAGCACTTCTCTCTTCTCGAGTGTGTGCCACCACACCTGGCTTTTTATGTGGGTACTAGGAATCTTCATGCTTGTATAGCAAGCACCTAACTGAATGAACAAGCCCATCATTTGCTTTTTCGTGGTTTCTTATAGAGTCTAGATTCCTATTGGCTTTCATTATAAATTATTTCACTTTTCTCATAAAACTCAAGGACATCAAAATACGTTAATCCCATTACTCTTTCCTGTTATGTAACATTGGTAGACTCAACAAAATTCTATGTTTACTTTTTCTTTTCTTAAGGAAACTTTCATTCTCCTGGCTTCCATTCTTTGCTGGGTAGTTAGCCTAGCCCTAGAATTTAAGCCATCAGTGCTCTCATTTCAAGATAATTAATTTGTCAGGAGGCTGCTAATATATTGTTTCATTTGTTTTTAAAGCAGGTTTTTCATAATGTGTGACCTTAGTCTCCTTGAGCTTCTATAATTAAATAATGTAGACTGTTTGTATTGTAAATAACAGAAATTCCAGAGGTAGCAAAGTCTTAAGTGACGGTGTTGAGAGATTCTATTTTTAAAAAATGCTTAAATGGCTGGGCACTGGTGGCACATGCCTGCCTTTAATCCCAGCACTCAGGAGGCAGAGTCAGGAGTTCGGGGCCAGCCTGGTCTACATTGTGAGTGCCAGGACAGGCTCCAAAACAATACAGAGAAACCCTGTCCCGAAAAAAAAAAAAAAAAAAGTTTCTTATATGGTAAATGATTTTAGTTCTAATAATTTGCTGATATGATTATACTTCCTATAGAAGTCACATCATAATCATAATTTAGTTTCATTCCTAAATTCAGAGTGATTGTTCCTTCAGAACTGCCACTGTCATCTAGCACCTAAAATAATTAATTTCAATAGTGGTGTGTACTTAACCATTGTAGGCCATATGCTGTTTTGATAACTTTTCTTTCTCCTTAGAAGCTTTTAAGATCATATATATATATATATAATCTTAATATATATATGTGTGTGTGTGTGTGTTCATAAATTTCTTAAGAATCTTTAGGTATGGAATTATTCACTTATTTTAGTTGAGTAAGTGAATAGTTAATGAACTTGTTCAAACTAAATATATGTTTTTCCCCCTTCAGGTATCAGAAATATATGCTTGTTCTAGGAAATTTTCTTGACCTTATATTCCAATCCTTATAAAGTCAGATTAATTCCAACAATTTCATTTTTAATTTCTAAAGACTCAATTTTGTTTTATGATTATTACAACGGTCTGTTCTGGAAGTTATCCTATCTCCACCAAGGTCAGCTATAGTCTTTTGGTGTTTTTCTTTCTTTCTCCAGAATCCTGTATCTCCTCATTATCATTCTTTTGTTTTCCAAGAAACGGTTTTGTTAACATTTACATTTTGGAATGTAAGCTCCATGAAGGTGGGAAGCCTTATATCTTCTTCACTATAGTATCTCCAATGTCTAAGAATTGTGTGGCACACAGTAGCTAATATTTCTTACTAGAAGAGAGAGGTAATATTTCTTACTAGGAGAGAAAAAGGAAGGGAAGACGGACATATCAAGTACATTATTGTAAAATCTAATATTCCATTGAAATACATGAAAGCCTTTTTTCCCAGGCCCTTCCTAAAAGATGTAAGTTTGCACTTTGTAAGGCTCATTTATTTTTGGTTGTAAATCTAGCCTTTAATGGCTGAGCCATCTCTCCAGCCTATAAGGCTCATTCATACTAATGAGATCTCTGCTCCTCTATTATGAAAGGGAGAATGGAAATGTGTGAGCCTGCAAATTTCTCCAAAACAAGGAATGTTTGGGCAAAAAAAATAAATCAACAAAAAAGTATGAGAAGAAAATACAGCATTATATTGGGCAAATGTGATAGAGAATGTCATTCCTCACTGGTTTGAAAGCACTAATACATAGCACAAAGAAAGAAGATAGGGAAAACACAAAACTAAGGACCAAACAAGAGTTTGTGTTCTGAAGAAAATGTAACATTTTTTCATTCACAGCACAGTGAAATTTATACACTTGTGAATCAGATTTGGTTCATATTCAACCATGTCCTAATTCTTGATATTAGTATACTATTATTAGCACACACCTGCAATATTTTACAAAATGAATTCAGTGATACCGTAATTGGCAGTACCTTTTTTTCTATCTTTTCTCTTCTAAAACTTTCCTTTATTATACCAAATCAGTTAAGACTAGTCATTCATTGTACAAAATGTCTCTTTGTATCAAGTCTTTTTCCTTCCAATTCAGTCTTTATTACATCGAATATATATACTTGTTTCTTTAGTTTTTCCTAGCAAACTGACCTTTTCAAAGGCACCAAGTAATCATTAAGAAATAGGACTTCTGACATTTGATTTCCCCAAAACGAAGCTCATCACTGATTCCCCAACTAATTAATTTACTCAATCTTTATCATCCTCATTCACACTTGATGAAGACTTACATGGAAGACACTGAGCTGTATCTATATCCGTCTAGTGTTATGTAGTCTCAACATGACTCTATAAAAGTAGCTATACTGTTTTTACTCTTTGATTTCTCAAATGGGGTTACCTATGTGTTCCAAAGCAGACTTCATTTAGAAAGTTGCTAAATGGAAATGGACACAAATTCCTCCCATTCTT